AATACACACACATGCATGTATATATTTAAGAAAAATGTTACGTTTAAATATATTACACATATTTATATATGATATCATTTATATGAATATAAATATATACATGTAAATACATGTACATATTTCCAAAAATATGCTGTATATGTGTGTATTTATTTATACATAATAAATATACACAGTACACACATATATATCATGTAAACAAAAACTTTTGTTTTGGATGCGATTAATCGCGATTAATCGTTTGACAGCACTAAAATATATATATATATATATATATATATAATTATAATATATTTTATGTAGACATATCATTTCTGCATTGTTAATTTGTGTGTTAGGATGGTTTCTAAAAATGTAACAATGCAAAAAATACATATTCATTTTGTTGACATTCATTTGCAAAAATATTAATTGCAGGATTACTTATTTATTTTCTTTTGATGTTGAGGTGAAATACGAACCCAAAATGTTCTTGGAAAATTCATCTGATTAACCTGCTATACCTGATGTGGTGGTGTTATTGTTGTTTTATGATGATGAAAATTGTGACTTGATATGAAACTTATTCTGTTTCAGTCAACGTGTTCTTTCTCAAATCAAAATATGGCTACAAATACATCAGTTAGTTTATTTATTATTTAATTCATTACTGTTCCGTTTATTTCTGAACTTTCTTTCAGATTTCACTCAAACGGGATTTCATGCGTTTCTGGAGGTCTTTCAGGAGCTCACTCTCTGGATTGGTGTCCTGTCGTTCACCTGGGAAGCAGTGTCTGCCATGCTAACGTAAGCTCTATCAGGAATGGTTATGAGAATCTGATCATTTTCGTGGGTGTACAAAAAGTATAGATTTTGAATTTCAGCCTATGATTTTGCCAAAGTCCATTGTGCAAAAGGCAAGCCAAGAAATCTCCCATCTGTTTCCTCTGTCAGTTGCGTGTGCACACGAGGTATTGTCAGCAAGCTCTGGTCTCTCATTCAGTGGGCGCTCATCACGGCAGCTGCTGCGGCCGTCTTTGCCCTCAGTGTGGTGAGTTACATGTCCTACATATGGTTGCCACTGCAATGTCAAAAATTGATTGAGTGTTTGATTTAGGGTGGCTTTTTGTTTCATCCAGTCATATTGATAATGCATACCTGTTCTGAGGCTCAAGTATTACATAATTGTACTGGTGACTTTCTGTTTATTCATTTGTTTACATTTCCTTTAAAAATAACTATATTGTTATAACATCCTAAATATATTTGTTTCATGTATTTATTACACACAAGCAATGCAGCGCCCTCTGCTGTCCGTAAGCATATAACCTGATCTAAATGGACTGCACTGGTACAATGTAGGCATTTTTACCTGCCTTTGTATGCAAATAATAGGGCTTTCAAGCGATTAAAATTCTTTTATCTAATTAAATACATGATGTGCTGATTCATTGATCTAATTAATTGCAAATTAATAGCACATCAATTTGGGCTGAGAAATTACCAATCCAAAACTAAAATAGTCATCGTTGTAAATGAGAAAGCATTGAATATACATTAATAAAAAAGTAGTTTTAGAAAGAAATAGTTTGATTCAACATAAGTTATTACACAAACTTTTAAGGCTATAATGTGTATAACATTGTTTTCAGAAGCTGCATCTGAAGTGTGATTTTAGGCATATTTACACAGACAGAAGTTGCATGGAATCAATTAGAATTGCATTAATAATGCTATGAGGTTTTTTAAATAGGCATTTATGGGTTTTTAAAAATGAATACTGAAATATAAATATGATTTTTATTTTTTAATGAAATGATACACTAAATATGAAAATCAAAATGCCTGTGAGTCATTCATCCAGCCGATTGATTCAAGCAGTTGATTCCTTTAGAAACGAAGCAAGTCTTTATGAATGATGGTTAAATATAAATCAAAAACCCATACGGGGCATTTTTGCCTCATATCTTGAATTTTAGGGGCATATAACTGCATTCTAATAGAACACATCACATAGTCATCTTGCTGCAATTGCATGCAATGTCAGATGACCTACAGGTGCATTAAATGTGTTAATAACTTTAATGCATCATTTTCTCCATAATTAATTGTACCAAACCAAACTCAGCCGCCCTACATAAAACATGATCTATGGACTGCACAGGTACATTTTAGGCAGTTTTACCAGCCTTTGTATGCAAGTAAATGTGTGTATGTGTGTTGGTGTTTCCTCTCAGGTTCCATACACATCCATGGCTGGCATGTCAGTCAGTAAAGTATTACCTGCAGTGCGAGACGCGTACAGCGCCGTAGAGAGGTACCAGCTGGTCGGGGCTTACGGCATCCAGCACAGAATGACCTCTGCTGAGGGCAGGCCTGAGATCATTTTAGAGGGCAGCTATGATGGGCTGACATGGACGGTAAGAAGGATGTGGAAAAGGTTGCCCTGCTACAACAATCCAAATCACTTTTTTTTTTTTTTTTACTCCCTTCATAATGTCACAGCCATTGTTTCCACAAAGTCTTCATTCAATGGAAAGGTTAAAGTATATTCTCACTGGTGGACTGGTGTAATCTTATCCTCTTGCAGGAAATGAACCCTATGTATAAACCAGGAAATGTGAATGCAGTCCCACCCATAGTAGGCCCTCACCAGCCCCGGCTGGAGTGGCTGATGTGGCAGACAGCTCAAGGGGGCGATGATACAAGCCCCTGGTTTACAGGCCTCTTACAGCGCCTCCTACAGGGCAAACCAGAGGGTGGGTGACCACTTATCAGATTACATCTACTTAATTATTTATTTAGATTATGATGTTGAATTGTCTATAATTTTGTGTTTTTCTTTCCTGTAGTGATTGGTCTGCTTCAGGTGGATGAAGCGCAGTACCCCTTCAGTCAGAAAGCACCGGTCTTTATCAAAGCCAAGCTTTATAACTACCACTTCACAGATCCTACGAAAGACAAGTGAGCTCCATACCTCTCTATTTAACACTATTATGCATAATTTTGGGGTTTTAGATTAACATTTTATTTTGTGAGAATTGCATCATATTTTTTGTAAATGGAGAGATTATTTTTAGTGACTCCACTGTTACATTAATTATGCTAATTTTCTTGGGAGAAAAATAATTAATTAAAAAAAAAACAATTTACTTCACTGTTAAATTTGTATAATTAGTGTGAAATAACTAATCTGAATTAATATTATTATTAAATATATTAAAATTATATACTTTTATTAATATCCCATTTATTTAGCATTTGTTAGTAAATTATTTAAATAATTTGAATGTTAATGCTAAATTATATACAGGTAAATGAAATGTTAAATCTGTATAATTAATACATTAACTAATCTGAATTAATTCCTTAATATTAAATATAATACAAATATATAATTTTCATTTATAAATATCCCATTTGTTTGCATTTTTTTTTGTAAATACTTTTTACAGTTTTAATGATAATGTTAAATTATTTACAGGTAAATGTTAAATATGTATAATTAATACATTAAAATAACTAATCTGAATTCATATTAATATTAAATACAAAAAAATTTTATATATTTTTTTATAAATCCCATTTATTAGTAATGTTATTAGTATGTTCCTTTTGTAATTTTAAAGATAATGCTAAATGATATACAGGTAAATGTTAAATTTGTATAATTAATACATTAAAATAACTAATTTAGTTAAGTTAGATTAAATTAGTTAATATTAAATGTAATGTTATGAACATGTAATGTTAAATAAATGTTAAATCTGTATAATTAAGGGAAAAATAACTGAAATATCTGAATTATTATTAATATTAGTTTGTTGTCGTTTGATTTTCATTACTACTGTATGTAGCTAGTATTTGTCTCTTTTAAAATACATTGATTTTTGCTGTGAAAATAGCCATAGATGCTGCTATGGCAATAAAAATAAATAAATATTAAATATAACAAAAAAAATTATAAATATCCCATTTAATATTTTGGTCATTTTAATAATGCTAAATTAAATGCAGTTCAATGTTAAATCTGTATAATCAATAGAGTAACAAACTGAATTAACATTATGATTTTTTTTCTTCAGTTTTTTTATTTTTATTACAGACATTTTATTCATATATGACTTGTTTGCTGTTGATGAAGGGATACTTCAGCTTACAGATGGTGCTGTGGTACATAAGACTTCAAAAAAGCTGCCTTATATAAATGTATCTACTGCACAGTTATTTAGAGACAGAAGTGAAGCCATCATGTGAAAGCCCACACAAAAATAGAATTGCATGCTTTCTGTCATCCTGTTAGTTTCCTGAAACTTACTAACAGAAGAGAAACAGCACTGCAGTCTGAATCTGCTCTCAAATTTAGTGTACTTGTGTTTGTCATTTTGGAAGGACCCATCTGCAGGCTTGGTGGAGGCGGCAGTACAAAAGGGAGTTTTTTCCCATTGTGAACCTCGATGACCCGACGCTCAAGAAACTCTTAGAGGAGGCTGGACTGAAGGTAAAATAGGAACATGCACAGTTCACAATAAAACCAGTAACATGCATTGGGAAAGGTAATAGAGTTTTGATGATTGACTTGAAACATCAGTCTGTTTGCGTGCAGGGGAAATTCCCAGCTCAGACCGGCTCTGACACACCTGTATCCCAAGCTCTGAGCCTCATTCGAGACCACGTCAAAGGCCTCTCGGGGTCCCTCCTGCTTTCAACACTGTTAGCTACTTTAGCCGGCATCTTCCTCCTCAAAGCCGTCTTCTCCTGGGTCTTAGGGGGCCCAAAACCTAGACCAGCTTCAGCTGATCACAAGACTAGGAAACCCAAAGAGCCCTCTGAGACGGCCGAGAAAAGCCAAGCGGCAGCTCCGTCCAACCGGGGCGGCAAGAAGGACTCCAATGAAAAAAAGGACTCGGACAGGAGCCCCCGAAAGAGGAAATGAGCTCTTGCTGTCACTTTGTGCCTTTGTCTTTGGCCATTGCAATGACAAATGATTCTCTCTCAGGTGTATATATTTTTTTTTCTAAGATCAAATCTTTGATTTCCTGCCTGTCACACACCTCAGATTTGCGTGTTACCACTACACCGTTTTATGTCTTTGTGTCAAAACCACTCAGTCAAACGCACAGTACTTTATGTAATTGGCTTTGAATGTTAACAGAGTCCATTTTTAAGCTGTCACCTGCTACACCCTTCTTTATACACAGTGGACGTCCCAAAGATTAAAACGAAAGCACAAATGCATTTTTTTTCATGCCATTTAACTCATTAAATGGTTGTTGATTTGTTTATTTTTTGTTTATTTATTTGGATCCCCATTAGCTATGCCCTAGCCTAAGGCATTGCTAGTCTTCCTGGGGTCCACACAACACTTAACATTCATACATTATTACATACATTAAAAATAAAAGTTAAATACATTCTCCACATTCCAAAGCATCTCTATAAACATTTATTCCACCTTTTTAATATCTATAACACCTACTATATAAAAAAACGTATTGCTTATTCAACTAATTCCTATACCTCAACCTCCTATAAGTACAGAATTCCAAGGTGTGCCTTTACCTGCCTTTTAAAATTGATTTTTCGTGTTATCCTAATTAATGACAATGGTAAAAAGATTCCATGATTTCATTGCCATAAATGTTACTGTACGTTTAAGAAAATTAGTTTTAGCATTCGGGAGTAAAAATCTACCCTCTGTTGCTCGTCTAGTAGCATATTCATGTGACTGAACATTAGATTGTAATTGATTATACTGATCCAATGGAGTTTTAAAATGTAAAATCTTCCATGTTGATAGCAATATTGCAGCAATCAGCCTATCTTCCACTCTTGCCATTTAAGATCAAAGTGCATACTATTAATATTCGTACCATACAGACACTGGAGTATTAACCTCGCTGCCTTATTTTGTACCAACTGGAGTTTCCTCAAATCCTTTTTTGTAGCATACATATAATCTGACAATAGTCCAGCTGTGAGAAGAAGAGAGTGTCCAATATTATTTTCATTATATCAAACGTAAAATATTGTCTACATCTTACTACAGCTACCACCCTTACCATTCTCTTCACTGTGTTCTCAATATGCTTTGACCATGACAATTTATTATCCAGGGTGATACCCAATAATTTTGCTTCCTTAACTTGCTGAATAAGTGATTTATTTATCTATAATTTCAGCTCTGGTTTGGACTGTAGAGAATAATTAGACCCAAATAGTATACTCTTTGTTTTAGATGTATTTAGTATCAACTTGTTTTCTAAAATCCACTTTTCTATACTCTCCAACTCCTCATTCAAAATAGCCGTCAATTGAACCGACGTTTGTGCAGATGCATAAACTCTTGTATCGTCTGCATACATTGTTAATGTAGCACTTCTTAATACCAGATATAAATCATTTGTGAAAATTGAATACAAAATGGTCCTAAACCGCTCCCTTGTGGAACTCCACATTCAATTTTCCTTCTATCTGAGTAACTTCCGTTAAAAAAAACTCTCTGTGATCTGTTATCCAAATAAATTTCCATCCAAGCAATTACTGATGGTCTAAATCTATAACTCACCAATTTTTCCAAAAGAAGCTTATGATCAATAAGGTCAAAATGCAGCTGTAAAATCTAATAAGACTGCTCCACATATCCTTTTTTTTTTTTATCCAACCCCCAATACCAATTGATAAATTCTTATTCCTCAGTTGTTTTACTAATCATACAACTTGTGCTTTTTGTTTAGAGGTACTGAAATCAACATTTAAAATTGTCATTTACCTTAAAAATTAAACATTGAAAAGATGGCTATTTGTAATGGCGTGAAAGGGTGGAATGTTTTTTGGATGAGATTTTAAATTTTAAACTTCACCCTATATTGTCTCTCAACAAGTATGGGAAACACCCGTTCTGTCAAAACTTAATCCACCTGTCTGTCAGTCATGCATTTCAGAAATGAAAGTTGAAAAGCAGTTGTTAGTCGCCACAAGGTGGCAGTGCACACACATCGTGACTGCACACTTGGGTTTATGTTGAGTAAACATTTACAGTCTAGGTGGGATTTTAATTATGCAGCACTTAAAACGGGTTATATCAACTTGATGTTTAATTGTGAAGCCAAATGCTTTATTTTAAGTTAAAAGAATGTACAGTAAGTAGATTTGTAGTTAGGTTTGGTGCAGTTCAACCAAGCGTGTTGACATTAAAGCATTAGGAGTTAATGAACAATTAAATATTTTATATATATATATATATATATAGTCATTTCATAAAACCTAATGCATTAATGTTGACAAAAACCTTTTATTTTTATGACAAATAAATTCTATTATTTAACAATATATTTAAATAATTTATATATGATAAAAACACGTGTAAGTGAGTCTGTATAGATAGATAGATTATGAAGTGTTCATTTTTGGACTTCACATTGCAGTGTATTTTCTGCTAGTTTAATGGTCATTTGTATTAATACTAGTAATTATTTGGTATTAATGATGAACTACATGTACTTTTCTGCAATTATTTTGTGGATCATCTTGTAATTACAAACTGTAATAACCTTGTTAAACAGAAATAGAACACTTCTTAAACTGGTCTTTAGTTTAGGCTCTAGTTTACGTTGTCTTAAGCAGGTCTCTCAGTACGACCCTTCTGAAATGTGCCCAAAACCACTTTAACCCCAAGTTATCAGGCTGTGAAACCAGCAAACCATTGTTTGTGTTTAATTAGGTTACTATAAGTTTAGTCAGATATATTATGAATGAACCATCCAAAAATCTCAAGATATGTCTTATTTAAACTAGCCAGAGCTGCTTCTGGTCAGGAGTTTTGGGTACTTTTCGGCTTGTCAGTCTGCTTTTAGAGGGCTTTTTGGTATTTTACAGTTGGTCAATCTGGTCTGGTTTCAGAGGGTGTTGGCCATTTTCTGGCTGATCAGGTTGGTTTCAGGGTGTTAATGGCTATTTTCAACTGGTTTTAGAGGGATTTTCAGATGGTCAACTTTGGGATTTTGCCCATTTCTCAGCTGGTTTGAGATAGTTCTCATTTCATTTGGTCTGGTTGGTTTTATACTTTGGAGCACTAGGAGGCCAACTCAAATCAGCCAAAACCAGCAAAGAGTCTCAGGCTGATTTAACCATTTATTTTCTGAAACTCCCATGTGTCACTTGTGATTGAGGTCTGGATGAGTCACCCATGTTCCCTTGAATAGTTTTCTCTATTTTACACATTATAAGTGAGTCAAAGCGCCCTACCTCTTAAACACAGAGGACAAGTCCATCCGCCCCCATTCAATTCACAGAAGCGCTGCAGGGCGAAATTGCGCACTGAGCACGCCATGCTCTCCATCGGGACCAGAGGAGAAAGACACGCCAAAACCACTGATCCCGAGACCGTCCTGTGATTATCTGCAGTCAGATGTACAGGCGGAAACATGCCTGCATTCCGTTGTCAGGGAAAGCGAAGAAAGTGAGACACGGCTGATTTGTTTTTAATATTCCCATGTTCCACATGAGGGAGGTTAAGGTGAGTGCACGCACACCCACAGCGTAAACGAATGCGCGGTGGCTCAACTCACTTTCTAACTCAAATTATGCATTTGATTACTTTTCATTCCTTATAGGGGTTGTCTAGTGAAATGATTAGGATGTATCCTGTCATCATTTTCAGACTGGATAGGTGTTTGGCACTGCGCGCGTTATTTACTGTCTGTATTACCGTAACTACATTGAGACTTTTTCGTTATAGAGCGGAGAAAGCATTTGTGTATTAGTGTTGCTTTTTTCTGGGCTTGTGACCTGCTCAGGTGTTTTTGGAAGCCCTTTAACAGATGATGTTGCCACGTTGGAAACACTGGTAAGTTTTGCAAAAGGGCTTTTATTAATGGTTTTCTTGCTTTCTATGTTTTGACTTTGTGGAACCCTACTGGACAAGAAGTTAAAAACCAACTTGCGATGGTTTATTGGTCTCTCAAACTGTTCTGAAAGCTGTTTTAGAGGGGATTTGAGCATGTTTTCACCTGGTCAGGACTAGCTGAAGACCAGTTTAGCCATGCAGGGAGATCATCTTAACAGGCTAAGAAGACTAGCTTGGCCAGGCTGGGAGATCAACAAACCATCTAGTTTTAGCTGTTTTTCCCAGCAGGGAAATCAATTTCACATTTGGCTAGTCAGGACATTTTTCTGCTATACAACCAACCAATTCTTGTTTTTTCAACCCAACAGAGTGAAAACATTCCCAGTGACTACAGAATACCTATCCGCTTCATCACCAAGGATGTGGCAAGTGTGATACATGCTAATATTTGATGATACGGTTGACTAAGTTTGCTTTGTGGCCCAAAATCATATTTGCACACTTTGAGCCACACTTTATGTATGAATTTCATTTGTATTGGATATCAAAATATCAAACTACGTGGCAAACAAATGATGCTAAAGCTTATCTCTGAACTAACTTCACTTTCTGATTTTTGCAATGACTTTTAACCAGCGGGTGGATTTTAGTGAATGCATGAAGTTAGTTCTCTTAGCAGGTGTAGATCACATACATTTGTAAACTTATCTTTCCATATTCCATAATATTTTCTAAAGTTAAAACAATTCTGTTGTTTTATCATTTAAACCTAACAAACATTTATATGTTGAAATGTTTTGCATTAAAAATGCTTATGCATATTTCTTTAAAATAAATTCCACTCGGCTAGAATATCATGCAATTGGATGATTACATTTTGAAGTGTGGCTTAAGTCTCCAAATACATTTTAGGGCCATTATCAGATAAAACATTATGTATTAAAGAGTTGTTGTGGTTTGTGACAGTTCCAGAAGTGACGCCTATAAGCATTTTTCTTTTCTAATATCTAAGGGTGGAGCTTGCTGGCTATATGTGAACCTGTATCACGTTGAAAGCAGTTTAAAAACATTGGCCCTCAAGTTTGGCAACCTGTCCACCAATAAAGTGAACATCACTATTTTTATAACAATGCTGGAGGGTTTTCGTTTCACTCTGGACAGTGAGGAGCTGGTAATTTCCTCGCGTTTACATTCGCATTCTTTGAAACGTTGTCGTGGCTGTCGATTCACTCTCGTTTGTTTGTCTTCTCTAGGAGGTGACAATGCAAACATTCGAGTGCCACTACAGAAGGGGAACGTGGCCGACTAGACGTTACTTTAACCATGTTAAAGAGGTTCTTACAGCGGCTGGATCCACGGTTGGCAAATTTCATGACTGCACACCTCCTCCTTGCAAGACCCCACCAGCTCCTCCTTTCACACCAGGTGAATG